GCAGGTTGTCAAAGGATGGGTGCTTCGACATGGCGTTTGAGACGTCGTAGATGCGGTTGATGGATAGAAGGGTAGACCTGGGAGGAGGCGCGTGGGTGTTTGGAGTAACGCGACTTCTGCTGTGCTGCGGTGCATTGGTGGTTGCAAAGCGGCAGCGGAAGTGTCATGAGAGAAGCACAGGGAAGAGAGGACGGAGAGACTGTCGAGGGTATTATTGCAGTTGGAGGAGGTGCATTTGCTTTAATGACGCTGTCTGGGTAATTGATGTTGTGGAGTCGGTTTTGGAGTTGAGTGATGCGGCATTTGGTTGCGAGAAGGAGTCGGCGAATGCGTGGGATATGAGGGCTGTTGCAGATGTTGAATGGTTGGTATGTGGGATGCGGGTGCAGTGATTTTTGTTGGGGTGTGATGAGACTGTAGCGGTAGACGCTGGAGGAAAGTGGCAGGGCAGGTTGTCAAAGGATGGGTGCGTCGACATGGCGTTTGAGACGTCGCAGTGGCAGTTGACGGATAGAAGGATAGACCTGGGAGGAGGCGCGTGGGTGTTTGGAGTAACGCGACTTCTGCTGTGCTGCGGTGCATTGGTGGTTGCAAAGCGGCAGCGGAAGTGTCATGAGAGAAGCGCAGGGAAGAGAGGACGGAGAGACTGTCGAGGGTATTATTGCAGTTGGAGGAGGTGCATTTGCTTTAATGACGCTGTCTGGGTAATTGATGTTGTGGAGTCGGTTTTGGAGTTGAGTGATGTGGCATTTGGTTGCGAGAAGGAGTCGGCGAATGCGTGGGATATGAGGGCTGTTTCAGATGTTGAATGGTTGGTATGTGGGATGCGGGTGCAGTGATTTTTGTTGGGGTGTGATGAGACTGTAGCGGTAGACGCTGGAGGAAAGTGGCAGGGCAGGTTGTCAAAGGATGGGTGCGTCGACATGGCGTTTGAGACGTCGCAGATGCAGTTGATGGATAGAAGGGTAGACCTGGGAGGAGGCGCGTGGGTGTTTGGAGTAACGCGACTTCTGCTGTGCTGCGGTGCATTGGTGGTTGCAAAGCGGCAGCGGAAGTGTCATGAGAGAAGCGCAGGGAAGAGAGGACGGAGAGACTGTCGAGGGGTATTATTGCAGATGAAGGAGGTGCGTTTTCTGTAATGACGCTGTCTGGGTATTGATGTTGTGGAGTCGGTTTTGGTGTTGGGTGATGCGGCATTTGGTTGCGAGAAGGGGTCGGCGAATGCGTGGGAAATGAGGGCTGTTGCAGATGTTGAATGGTTGGTATGTGGGATGCGGGTGCAGTGATTTTTGTTGGGGTGTGATGAGACTGTAGCGGTAGACGCTGGAGGAAAGTGGCAGGGCAGGTTGTCAAAGGATGGGTGCGTCGACATGGCGTTTGAGACGTCGCAGATGCAGTTGATGGATACAAGGGTACACCTGGGAGGAGGCGCGTGGGTGTTTGGAGTAACGCGACTTCTGCTGTGCTGCGGTGCATTGGTGGTTGCAAAGCGGCAGCGGAAGTGTCATGAGAGAAGCGCAGGGAAGAGAGGACGGAGAGAACCTCAAGGTTATTGTGGCAAATGAAGGAGGTGCGTTTTCTGTAATGACGCTGTCTGGGTAATTGATGTTGTGGAGTCGGTTTTGGAGTTGAGTGATGCGGCATTTGGTTGCGAGATGGAGTCGGCGAATGCGTGGGAAATGAGGGCTGTTGCAGATGTTGAATGGTTGGTATGTGGGATGCGGGTGCAGTGATTTTTGTTGGGGTGTGATGAGACTGTAGCGGTAGACGCTGGAGGAAAGTGGCAGGGCAGGTTGTCAAAGGATGGGTGCGTCGACATGGCGTTTGAGACGTCGCAGATGCAGTTGATGGATAGAAGGGTAGACCTGGGAGGAGGCGCGTGGGTGTTTGGAGTAACGCGACTTCTGCTGTGCTGCGGTGCATTGGTGGTTGCAAAGCGGCAGCGGAAGTGTCATGAGAGAAGCGCAGGGAAGAGAGGACGGAGAGACTGTCGAGGGTATTATTGCAGTTGGAGGAGGTGCATTTGCTTTAGTGACGCTGTCTGGGTAATTGATGTTGTGGAGTCGGTTTTGGAGTTGAGTGATGCGGCATTTGGTTGCGAGAAGGAGTCGGCGAATGCGTGGGAAATGAGGGCTGTTTCAGATGTTGAATGGTTGGTATGTGGGATGCGGGTGCAGTGATTTTTGTTGGGGTGTGATGAGACTGTAGCGGTACACGCTGGAAGAAAGTGGCAGGGCAGGTTGTCAGAGGATGGGCGCGTCGACATGGCGTTTGACACCTCGTATATGCGGCTGATGGA